GGAATTCCCCAAATGGGATTATAGCATCTCACATTTCATCAGAACTACTGTAGTTAACTTGCAGGATGTCTGCTCTGGATACTGTTCTCCCTCGAGCCTGGACATCCTGGATGTTCTCTGAGACCAACCAAAGGGAGCGCTTTTCTGGTCCCAACCTCAGATGTATTAGCCCATTCAGTCCACTCCAGTGCGGGGAGTCTCCTTACTGGCCCCACCTCCTGTTCTCTCTAGTCACCTGTCTCTAAAAGATAGATAAGTACTTCCTGTTTTGAATGTCTGGCCTTTTGTGTGTGTTTGTGTGTGTGTGTGTGTGTTTGTGTGAGTGTGTGTGAACATGAAGCCACCACAGCAGAGCTGGGGCAACATTTGTTTCAGACTTTTCATTATTTAAAGATATGTGTGGATTGACTATTTACGATAGCCAAGACATGGAAACAACCCAAAAGTCCATCAACAGACGACTGGATTAAGAAGATGTGGTATATATACATTATAGAATACTACTCAGCCATAAAAAAGAATAAAATAATGTCATTTGCAGCAACATAGATGGATCTGGATATTGTCATTCTAAGTGAAAAAGAAAGAAAAATACTATATGATGTCATTTATATGTGGAATCAAAAAGAAAGGACACAAATGAAATTCTCTACAAAACAGAAACAGACACACAGACATAGAGAACAAACTTACAGTTACCAGGGGGTAAAGGGGGTGGGAGGGGATAAATTGGGAATTCAAAATTCGCATCTTTTGGGGAGTGATGGAAATGTTAGCTATCTTGATCATGGTGGTGGTTTCATTAGTGGATACAGCTATCAAAATTCATCAAATTGTACATCTGAAATATATGTAGTTCACTGTACAGGAATCATACCACAATAATGGTGTTAATAATAAATAAAGATATGTGAGGATTGAAACATTACAATTGTTCCCATTTCACCAAATTATAAGGGAATGCTCTGATGATACCCGGCAAAAGAATAGTTATATGCCTCCTGCCTCTCAAGCACAACAGTCATTGATAACTATGTTTTATCTTAGGTTATAGATAATTCTTAAAAATGTTTACTTTTTTTCATTGTCGTATCAGTTCAAATATTCTTTGAAAACTCCAGTATTTAGATAAATTCATTGGTGTATCATCTTTCTAAGGTGAATAATCACCCCTATGTTTAGGAAGGAGATATATATGTTTATATGGATTTCCTTGGCCCAAACAGATGTTATATTTAAAAGCTGTATCAGACAAATACCAACCAATCTTAATGTTGACCTTTCAGAAGAGAATCTTTAAGCCTTTCATAATCCTAATTCTAGTTTCATCCATTTCTTCAGCCTTCCTTCCTCCCGCCACTTTTTTTAAACATTTTTTATTGATTTATAATAATTTTACAATGTTGTGTAGAGCACAATTTTTCAGTTATACATGAACATATACATATTCATTGTCACATTTTTTTCTCCATGAGCTACAATAAGATCTTGTATATATTTCCTTGTGCTATACAGTATAATCTTGTTTATCTATTTTACATTTTGAAATCCCAGTCTATCCCTTCCCACCCCCCGCCCCCTTGGCAACCACAAGTTTGTATTCTATGTCTATGAATCTGTTTCTGTTTTGTATTTATGTTTTGTTTGTTTGTTTGTGTATGTGTGTGTGTGTGTGTGTGTGTTTTATTTTAGATTCCACATATAAGCGATCTCATATGGTA